ACTAAAATACAATTTTGAGACGTTTTTTTACCATTATAAAGTATTATATTCGCTAGCGTCTATAGGGAGAGGATCGTTTTGTTGGATTTAATAAATTTGTCTTCATAAAAAGAATTTTGTCTTTTTCTAAGTAATCTGTTTTTACTGTGTAGAACTAGCGTTTCTTCTGTTTTACTTACTGCATAAAAATCCGTCAAGGTTATATTCCAAGACAGACAAAAGATAGCAAAATTCGGAATATGTCGCTCGAATAATATAATGCACAACACAGGATGTTTTCGCAAAGAAGTCTGGCACAATCAGCTGCTTGCATAATGCATGAAACCGTCCCGCGACAGCTGGCGGAACCCTGATATTCTGATATTATTGTTTGTCAGCGATAAGTGTGTTTACGTGAGGTAAGGATGATTTATTTGATGATAGAGGATAAAGACTAACACCTGAAATTGGTCCTAATATTAACTTTTAACACGAAATAAATAAGTTCCTTTTTTAAACTCAACAGCATGGCGAAAACCGATATGTACTTTGTTAGCTTTATAATATTGGCACAACGTATCGATTTCGAGAATATCAATATTCCGAACTGTAGCTCGAGATTTACAGCCCGTTTTAAAGTTAATTAAAAACATCAATTCAATAGCTTTCATCGAATCAAAAACGCCTGATGAATACAAAACAAGCATCGTTCGTTTTGCTGTTACAAATGGCCCCCTCTGCTGGAAATAAATCATGGGTCCAGGTGATTGGAATTCAAACAGTAAAACAACTCCGTACAGTCTGTAAAATGGTTACGTAGGTATTAATTATTATAGAAAAAAAATCGTTGCTCAATGTTTCCCAATTTATAGAAATTCGGGAACATTTCGCGAGTTTCAATTTAACTTATCAAGGAGGAAAAGTTTTAACATTGTTTTCATTTCAGTTCTGGGACGGAATTATAAATTACGTCTCGTGGTACCTATACATCAGATTTTAAAATAGTACCTATGTGTAAATATTCTCAGGTGTTCCGTAGACGTTGAGGATAACATCTCATTTTTGTAGTAAGCCGTATGTGTGCGCGCGCGTGAGTGTGTGTGAGTGTGTGTGTGTGTGTGTGTGTGTGTGTGTGTGTGTGTGTGTGTGTG